AAAAAAAAAAAGAGCGATCTCTACCAGTGGCACACTCATAACTATTCACAGGCCATTCAGTGTAGGGAAAGAGGAAGAAAGAAAAGACAGAAAGTTCAAAGACAAACTGATGGGCAGATACAGAGAGAGCGAGGCAAAGAGCCAAACAGACAGATATATATTGTCGGCTCAGAACTATTTCATCGAAAGAGTGCATTTTGGACAAAATAGTTCTAAGACAACAGATATACAGATATACAAAGGTATGGGAAAGACAGAGCACCACTTAGGGGAGAGGAGAGAAAAAGACAGACAGACAGACAGAGAGCCAAACTGTCAGGAGGCATACAAATAAATGGATGGAAAGACAGGAAGACAGTATTCTCACCTGAGCCATATCACAGTGCTTGCCACGATAGTCGAGCTTAATGGTAACATCTGAGATGAACACAAACGACCTAAAAAAAATATTTTAAAAAGAAGAAAAAAAAATGAAACACAGTACTGTTCTTCCAAGTTCTGTTGTTTAGATGTGAATTCACTTTCCTTTCTGACTTATGTTCAAGCTTGTAACTATTTGGACCTGTCTATGAAAAATCAAGACTATTCACACCTTCCCCAGAGAGCAACAACAAAAATATGCCTACAGGGCCGTAAGACAAATATTGTGAATGTTTTCTTTACGAATGTACAAACCTCTCAACCCATCCCGCCAAATAAATAGATTAATTAATTATTTAAATAAATAAATAAATACAATTAATTAATTACTTTAAAATAATGTAAAGTAATTTTTTTTAAAAATTAAAATTAAAATTCTACAATCTCACCCAACTTACACATACATCACATGAACACACTAACATTGCCAGTTCATGTGCAATAATTCAGGTCAATAAAGGACAGGATACTTACTTAATGAAGACTGGGAGATCCTCCTGAGGCACCTCCGACACATTCTCATTGAGGCGTGCCTGGGAACAGAATAAATTAGATTTACAAGTAACACATAGTCGTAATACAAATGTACGGTTTGTTTCATTACGAGTAGTCCCTTTTAATTATTTTTTTCTGAATCAGTGAACAGAGGCTCAACTAGGCAGCTTCAGCTACAACAAAATCCAGCTGCACTCCATAAAGAGAATCTGACATATATAGATGGACGGATAAGCACATGAACAGAAATACATGTACTGAACAGAAAGACAAGATACAGAAGTAAATGAGTCGTTTTATACATCACGTCAACATGATAACAGCCTCTCCAGGAACAGAAAAGGATAAAAAGATACCAGAGCTTTCCAGCAGCTGATGTCATTTTTCGAAGATTTTCGGGTCCAGGGCAGAGGCCTGGCAGGGGGTTGAAGGGGGACAGCGCCCCCTTTAGTTTTGAGAATTTTTTGTTTCAGGGCATCCTAAGTATGCCATTTCTGGCTATTCAAGCCTAAATTTTACAAGAAAATAAGTGAGGAAAAAAAAAATACCTTGCATAGGCCTACATAATTTTCTGCTTGTGTTAACCCATATTATTCTAAATCCAAAGCCATGCTTTCTCCCTTGTACAGATACTGTACATCCACAATTAGATCTATAAAACTTGACAGTTATGTTCAACTTTTTTCTGCTTGTGTTGGTTTGCACCATAATCATCATAAGGTGTAAAATCCTTCCTTATAATAATAGTATAACTTGACTTGATCTAGATTCTAGTCTAGATTTTAGATCTAAAAAACTTGACAGCTTATATTCAACTTAAATCCACAACAATACAAATAAGCAAGTCTGGTAAAAAAAAAATCAAGCTCTCTTTAGAGTTTTCTTTTCTTGGCAGGCCCAAGATCTATTGAACCACAATCGTCATTTCTTCCTCTTGTTTACAGTGCTGGTTCTCTGCTTCTTGAGCTTTAGAAAATGAAAGTGAAAGACACTGTCTACACTTTCAAACAAAAGAGCACTTCCGCTATGGGTTGGCTATTGTTGACTATTGGTTATAACGGAAATTTTTTATTTCGCATTTTTGAAAATAATTTTTTTTTTGGGGGGGGGGGGCACGAATTTTCAAGGAAATTTTTCCATTTGCGGAATTCTGCTAATTTGCGGAAATCCGCAAAATTACGGAAGACTGGAAGCCCTGAGAAACCAAAGACAAGTAAAGGCAGCAGAACCAATGAAACTTTCAACAACTTCTTGTTGACTGACAGACAGACATTCAGGTGGGTAGGTATGATGGTAGAAAAGTGGATGTGTAATTACAAACGTACATATCTTGACCAATGATAAAATGAACAGATAAACAAATATAGTTGAAAATGTTTAAGATGGGTGCTCATAGTTGAAGAGAAAAGTGGCCGTTTTAGATTGATGGCCATCTCACACAGTGTCATTACAAAGTAAAAAGTACACAAGGGAGGACACAGTAAGAGGCTGTTCGCAGAGGTGATTTTCTTATACATGTGACCAGTCAGTACAGCAGATTCGAAAGTAAATCCAGAATGATTTAAAACAATATCACTCACCTGCAGATAAATGCTCTGCTTCATGCTGAACTCATCAAACTGCATCAACAACTCGGTCTCGTCCATGCTAGACTCTTTCGTCGAGGGCTCTCGCACTTGCATGATGGGATCTGCACTCCCAACAGACGCTCGTGGGCTAGCCCGCCCACTTATCGGAGACACCCGCCCACCAGAGGGAGAGGCCCGGCCACCGAGGGGAGATGCCCGACCACCAACAGCTGACCCACTGGGTGGGGGTCCACTGGAAGGTTCCATCTCACTCTCGGATAATTGCTGGATGAAGGTCTTCAGAAAGTTGAGGGCGAGCTAAAAAACACATTAACAAAAAGACAAAAGATTAATGAAATGCCCACAGTGGTTTCAAATCTCACTGCTCTCAGATGTAGCAAGGTGTTCGAAGTCCAATTTTGAGTCAAAAAGATAAATCTAATAAAAATATTAATGCTTTTCGTTTGCACTCCATTAACAATACTGGTGCACAGTTAAAAATACAGAAATATTGTTCACTTTAAACTGCATAATTTTAAGGTATGCCCTTCCAAGCACTGTATAGCTTTTTCAGATGCCGGACCTTCAAATTTAGCATCCCTCTCCTATATGACTGAGACAAGTTGGTGGCAAGACTTTAAAACTCCTAAAACAACTTAAGATCGAGAATGCTCCTCTCGAGATCCTCACCATAGCTCAGTATGCTATCGAATGAGTCAATGGCCTGGGCCTAAACAGAAAAACATGTAAGCAAAACTGGAAATAACACTTGAAAGCACTCAGAATTTCCATCAAGTAAGCAACTTCTTTAAAAACAATGTTAGAGAGAAAAAGAAAAAAATGCAGTCTCTTCCTCACCTGATCAATATTCAGCTTAATGGGCAGCAGGAACAGTTTCACTTCTAGCTCCTCGCGGTGTGGGAGGTGCTCTGGCCGCTTGAATACCCCGGAAAACATCAGCTGAGAGTTGAGTGAACAGAGAGTAGGAAAACTCGAAGTACATAATGGGAAGAAAAACTTGTAGTAGTTAATGTCTCATCACAACAGAGGTAGGAGTTCGTGCTGTAATCGTCTTCATTGTTCAAACTAAGATGAAGGTGCATGCAGCAAATTTAGGTAATGCATGTAAAAAAATGTTGGTTGCAATGAATACATGGAAAGGATATTGAAACTATTCAAGAAATTAGCTACTGCACATTTTATGGCCATCCAGATACCTTTCCAAAGATTTTTACAATTCTGAGATGCAACTGAAAAGGAATTATTGTTCAATGTGAGATAAATGAACAGCAAGCGAGACTCTATACGTGGAAAAGGAATTACGTGGTTTTTTTCAAGAGCCTCTATTAAATAACCTATCACATCTCCTCATCTAGTAATGTAGTGACTTAGGCTGGAAAACATACCTATTTCCACGAATGTTAGAAGCACAGTGCACACTGTCACTGATAATTCGACCTTGTTGCAGAATTTCATCACAAACTTCTTATGTTTGAGTCAAAATCATACAACAAATCATACAGAGGGAGGATAAGAACTGCTTTACAAGAAGCAAAGAACAAGAAACAACAAGAGAATTTTTTTTCCAAGCCAATTCATAAAAACGTTTATACACAGGGCAGAAAAAAAAAATACGACAAATTATTTTCAATAACTAGAAAATAGTCCGACTTTAAAGAAACAAAAAAAAGTTGCACATATGATGAGGTATTCAAGTGGCAAAACCTTTTAAAAAGTGACTACATTATCTCACCATGTAAGCTGAGTTCTGCTCTGGATGATCCTTATCCACCAGTTTGACCAGGAATTTGTTGACCTCTGACGCCACAATGCGGTCCCGCAGCTCAAAAGAATTGACCAGGAACTTAAACCGGGATGACTGGATAGTCCAGGTGGGATAAACCTCGTAGCGGAAACGAATCTGTACCGTAGAGAATGTGACATTGATGAATAGAGGGAGGTGGGCCTTACAGTTGCTTTACAGTAAAAAAAGGTATAATGAAAATTGACAAAAATAGAAATCTATTATAGATCAGAACAAAATAGAAATTAATCTTAGACACAGTTCAGAATCAAAATTAACTCATTAGCTACGCCGAGCCATGGGCAGCGGTGCGGTGAAAGTGTCTTCCGTACGCCAAGCCGCCCCCGACGGCTCGAGCACCGACCTATAATTCTAGCTTAGATGTTATTCCAATCCACGTATCCATGTTAAAATAAAGGTTATAATATAACATTGACTTCCGGGTCAAGCGTTTCCACCGAAAATCGAAAGTTTAGATTCAGTTTTGAAACGCGATTTCGTAGTTTATGCGACTTTGTTTTATCGCAATGCCAAAATTATAGCCCAGACAGCAGTCTTAGTACATTTACACAACAAAATGTATCATTATTTTGCTTACTAAAGACATGTAGGACTCTTCTTTATAATATTGATACTATTGGACTCAAATTGCCGATGCACTGTTATTGAGAAATCAATATTTCTGAGTGCTAGACCTAGATCTTAATTGTCAAAATATTTTTTTCTCTCCAGAAACTCTATTTTTGGTGAAATTACACAAAAAGTGCAACTCAAGACATGTATAGGTTTATTCCAAATGCAATTCTGAAGAATTCCATATAAAATACGAGTGTTTTTTCTGTTTGTGATCCTTTTTTCAAGATTATAAAAAATAATTTATTTTTTTTCAATATCGGAAGTCATGATTCAAATGTACAGATATTATGGAATGTAAGTAAATAACTGCAAATTTTTCAATATTTTCCAGTTCTTTATTCATTTATGGTTATTTTGATGTATCAATTGACTAGATCTAGGTGCAAACATATTTTTTGAGTTTCACCAAAGATTATTAATTTTTTATTTTCAAATTTTATCCGTATCCAATGAAAATTGCGATGCATAATCCCCTTTTACAGGAACCAAAGTTGAAAAATACACAAATAACCATTACAGATGTATTTGACAAACCATACTCAACGTTTTGGTATATAATATGTTGATATTTATTTGAATTTGTGGCCCCAAAGACCTTTGAACTGCGCACTAGTCATCATCTCATTTCGCCCTACCGAAAAATATGTGTCCACAAGCCGAAATAATACGTAGCGAAAGAGTTGATCATGGACACAGTTTGAATTTAAAAAATTAATCCAGGACAATCCAAAAAAAACCTTATCCTTAGACAGCTTCAGAAAGGCAAGGGAATAAACAGCCCAAAAATGTTCTTGGAAAAAGTAAAAGAGTAAAGTCACTTGGAAAGAATAATAGTTTCAGTTTATTTGAAAATAGATAAAATAATCAAAGTTGCATGTCTGCTTCCATTAAAAAAACATGTCCACTCATAATGAGCTATTGCTTTCAAAATGTCAGTATATATTTCTCTGCTGCCAATCTAACGTTGCATCTCTTGTTTCTAAGCATTTGTCATAGTTTGTTATTTGCAGCATCTATGAAAGGTTAATCCAAAAAAAAAATTGATCAAAAGCGCAAATAGAGCAGTGGTCCTAAATAGCTATAAACAGCAACACATACTTTTATCTGAAGTCATTGCAAGGATCAAACTAAGATTGGATAAAAACTACACCAGATACTTACCTTATTCAAATCGAACTCCATCAACAAATCAAAGTTACGTAACTCTCCACCCCTTCGACGCCAGCTGTTCCGAGGAGAACCATCTGCGTCGGACGTCTTCCTCTGAGACCTTGGACTGTGGAACAGATTTTAATAAGTCACAAAAGCACAAATACAGCATGTAAAATAGTTTATTTGTAATACAGGAAATTCCATAAAAAGGATATAAATATCATAGACAAGGGCAATAAGAATATGAGTGTACAATGAAAAACGACAACATGAATTAACAAAACAAAGAAAGAAAAAAAGGAAGGAAAAAAGTCTTTAATTAAACAGTAGTAGTAACAAAAAGTTAACGACCCTATTAATTTTACATGAAACTAATTAACGGGATGTCTTTTCTACAGATGTTCAAAGCTTTTTGAAGAAACATATTTCTAGGTCTTTGCCCCATGCATAGCATTTGTTTATTCCTTACCAGAAACACAGACTTCCTAAAACTTATGTGATGAGTACTCCTATTCCAACACTAGTGAAGTGATTGTATTGATTATCTGGCCTGAGGAGTACACCGAACATGTTTTTGCAAGCCTCTGCTGACACTTTACATTGTGAATTTAGATGAATCCTGTTCAGCGATGCATAGACTCTTACCTCTGCATTCCACGAGACAATCCAATTCGTTCTGGGAAGGAAACATATGAGAAATAAGTGGCATGTATCTTCACTACTCAAGGAACTTTTAGGAATACAGTTTAAGCAAATAGAGAAACATGCTTTTAAATTTGATGAAGAAAAATAAATCCATTACAAAGCTTGTCTTTTGAGACAAGCCTTCTCTCCTCATCCTGACTCTAGATTATGAAAAAAAAATGTACAATTCAGGCAGTCATAAGTCATATCCGATTTAAACACAAGGGAAAGATTTACTGACTATCCCTTCTGTACAAAGAGGGTTGGTAGTGAACTGGATGGTAAATCGATTGAAGTTTAACCTCCTTGCAGCACAATTTTGATCATATCAGAGGAGACCCTTTGATGGCACATGTCAGAGCTAAACCAGCAAGCCAGCAAATAGATGATGATTATAAAATATGCCTCCCCCAAAAAGGATTGAACTCATGCCTTTTACAAGCCAGGAATAGAACATAACCATTTCATCACAGATGTTGGAGCAAATCTTCTCGTACCTCTGCCAGAACCAAGAGGTAAGTAAGAGGTTTCAACATGTTTATCTCACAGTCCACCTGATTTTCAAGTACATGGCTATTTTATAAAAACAGAATGTAGATTCATCCCTTGCCTGAGAGGCAGCCACATGCTGTTTTTGAAGGTACTCTTAGATATTTAAACTGACAAAGCTGACTTCAACTAATGGTTGGAATTATTGTTGAATTTTTGGATGGGCCTGCTCTTTTCCATTTTCAAGCCACCAAGAGATCTGTAACATGCAAAACTTTCACACAGGACCTCCATGACCAAGTGTTTGATTCTTCATATCCTTTGTTAAGGGGGTATCTATAGAAAACATGAGAAGAAAGAAGTCTGACTCGGGCAGGGATTGAATGCCAGACCTCCTGGTTGACAGGCAAACACCATGCTTGCTAAACTACTGAGCCCCCTCATGGTGGGTGCAAATAAAGAAGGACAGAAGGTTCCCACATACCACACAAAACATATCAAACGATTAGATTGAAAATACTCACCAGCACTAGAGCCACGGCGCTGATGTCCAAAATCAGACCCTCCATAGAGACGCCAGACTAGAGATAACTCTCTCAGGGTATACTGGTACTCTGGATCAGGGAAACCCTCAGGCGAGCGCAAAATGTCGAAAGAGCTGGTAGGCTTAGGAAGATAGTTTTCCACTACCTCCGGAGGGTGAGGCGACAGCTGGAATATTTTGTGACTGCCGTGTACATTCTAAAGAAGAGAAAGGAATGTTTTAAAAAAAGTCAGTTTGAAAAGAAGTAAGAAAGATCTGGAACTTAATAACCATAAGGGACATTTTTCTCATTTGCTAACAGTGACAATAAAAAAATATCAAATACTCATGGATTTTTAAAACTCATATTGTCCCACTTTCTCTAACATAATGGCAGCTCCACAAATAATCATGAGCTTTCCCTCCCTCACTTTTTTCCCATTCTCCAAAACCCAGATCTCTTCTCTGAGGTACTACCCAGTCTCAAACTTTTTTCTCCCCCTTCCCTCTTTGCTGTTGTGAGGTCAAACTTCTCTGTCCATAATTTTAGTTTCTTTCATCATTTCACTCATTATTGTTGTAATCTACAAGCTCCATCTTCTCTCAACCCTAATATCTTTTGTCTGTGGAAATCAAAGATCTCCACCTGCCTTCTCCTCAATCTAATCTCTTCCCTGCGATAGTCTACAATCTAATCTCTTCCCTGTGATAGTCCACAATCTAATCTCTTCCCTGCGATAGTCCACAATCTAATCTCTTCCCTGCGATAGTCCACAATCTAATCTCTTCCCTGCGATAGTCCACAAGAGACAATCTTAAACTTCTCACCCTAATTTCTTTGCTGTGGTAGTCCACAATCTCAAACTCCTCTTCCTCGTTGCCGTCATCTTCACAGTTGCCATTATCGTCTGACCCTGAGCTGTTTGACGTGGTGATGTGCAGCGCCTCACTCAAGTGTTGCTCCAGCTCTGGTACTTGGGACCCATCATACTGGAAGAACACACGAGTGCCTGGTCCCTTGGGTCGACGCTCCGGCACAGGCTCCGCTTTTCCTTCTGTGGAGATGTCACCAAGTTTTTTCAATGCAGATTGATTTGTTGAAGGAAGAGGAGAAGCATATCTACACAATAATAGCTATTTAGTGCTTGGATAAAGGATAATAATAACAGAGAGACAGAAACAACACAGGGAGAGTGAAGAAGCAGGACCCTCTAGAGCAACCCTCTAACCACATGCTTTACCAATCCAGAAAACTAGTCATCCATATGAATTTTAATATTGACAGAAATTATAATAACTGTTGTTGATATTTGTCAAATAAGCTATTAAAGACTAGGTTTTCAACAAACAAAAAATAATGTATTGTTAATGTTATTACCATTATTAACGAACACTAATTATTATCATTATTATTACTGTTGTTACTCACAAGACAGATAAACTCAAGTTTGCACTTTTGTTCAGGAGAATACACTGTTGGCACTGAAACCACTACCATTCATCACAATCAATATCGCAATTGCTACCGATTGTAAAAAAAGTTGTTAGTAAATATTTTCACAAATGTTTTGTACCCGTACACAAATTAACCAAAAAAGGACAATCATGAATACAGAAACAGAAAAGGTAAAGAAAAAAAATGAGAACCCGTAAATGGCATGCTCCAAACCAACTTTATATATTTATGTTCACACTCACCAGAGCATTCTTGACTGTCATTCATGGCTTCCTCTAGAGCCGAGACGACTGAAGCTTCCTGCTCCGGGGTGAGGGCTGGCACAACTGGACAAGACGATGCAGCTTGACCTTGAAGTTCCGTTTCCTCCTGTGAGTGGACAAACCAGCGAAAGGTCAGTGGGAGTATCAGTGACGCAGTAAAGAAAAAAACATTTAAAAATTGGTCTTTTTTTATCTTATCACATAATACTTTCTCTCACCTGCTTTATACTTCTTTAAAGTAATCAATGCAAAAATATTGCAGTTACAAGATTGCAAAGTGAGAAACAGAACAAAGACAATTAAACTTTTGATTTCTTTACTCAAACTCTCAAATCTCCTCAAAGGTATCTTTCTTAGATCCTCTTGAGAATCTGAATGTTGAAAATTACAGTGAGACACCACTATATGCTTAAGTTGTGTTTTCTTTCTGATTATCTTCAGAACAGGTATGTCCTAACACAAATATACCTTTTATCTTTAAAAAAAATGCCTTAATATTAAATACTAACTTTCTACTGAAAGATATTCTTAAAAGTTATTTCCATGAAAATCACAAGAAACCTATGCCAACAGGACAGAATAATGTCAAATTTAACTTTTTAACCCAACTGCACATTTTCCTTAGCCCTTATAGTTACTAAAAACAATGTAAAAAAAGATCCCCCAGCTTTTGAAGGTATTTGAATTAATGCAAAGAACTTCCAATATTTTGATATACATAAATTATACTTTGTCAGCATCATTTCACAAGTGCATAAGTAATTTTTTTAAGTTCTGAGAAAAAAAACACACACAAAAAAAAGAGCTCCCAATTTAATAAGAACCACAAGTTGGGCATTTTTCATTTTTCAAGGATAAACTAGGAGGAAGGAAATTATTAAACCGAATGAAACTTTTGTAACATACTCCTTGATATCTTTCTTCAAGTAACAGCTTATCTGGAAACTTCCAGAACTGATTTTGGTGATTGTGGAATGATGCTAACGTTATGATTTGAGCTTTTGAAGATAATGGACCCTTCTCAATCTTGTACATAGACTCTTCCCTTTTAAAACTGAAATTATGAAAATATTAAAATTTGGCATATTGACTGAACTACTTTCCACTAGAAGAGCATGATTACTGAGCAGCCTAAACCTAATTGACAACAAAAAGATCTCTCCCCTCACTAGTTGTTGTTATTTTCGATCAAGCAAACTAGTTCTCATGTCCGATTGTCTTCTTCACTCACCCCTTGAGCAGCTATGGATTGAGTCTCATCTCCCCCGCAAGATGAGTCGGCATCCCCTTCGAAGTCCTCCTCACCCAGGTCCCCATCACGCACGAGGTACTGGATGAGGTCGACAAGTGCGCGAGCTGAATCCGCACACGTGTGCAGCATCAGCTGATTGCACATGAACCGCATGTCCGTTTTGGGGATCTTCTGTTTAGGGGGAGCAAAAAATTATAGTGTTGAAATGCATGAGGAAGATAAATTACTTGTCAAAAAACAATCTGCAAAACTGAAAATCAAATTCACAACAAACAAGTACAGACATTATTAAGGTCCGAAGCTTGTTATCCTCGCAATGACTTATCCTAACCCTCCAAAGACACGTCTGCTGGGACATTTCATTAACTCATGCTCAGCACTATTCATGGACCCCCGAGCAAGTGTTGGTTCCCACGTGCTGTCGGCATTGCTGACTGTTTATGACGCCACAGCGCCAGGAGAGAGAGAGAGAGAGAGAGAGAGAGAGAGAGAGAGAGAGAGGGAGGGAGGGAGGGAGGGAGGGAGGGAGGGAGGGAGGGAGGGAGAGAGAGAGAGAGAGAGAGAGAGAGAGAGAGAGAGAGAAGAGAGAGAGAGAGAGAGAGAGAGAGAGAGAGAGAGAGAGAGAGAGAGAGAGAGAGAGGGGGGGGGGGGAGAAAACCCTCCAAAGACAGTCAATTGTCAAAAAGTAGTGAGCATTGCAGCGTCAAACTAACCCAATAGATCTAAGTTAGCCCTGTAGATAAATTGTAAGTTTCTCAATACAGCTATGATATGGGCATGATGCATCAGATCAGACCAGGGTTATTTGTGGGACCGAAAAAAAAAAGGGGGGGGGGGTGGTAAATTAAACTATTAAACTCGCTCAAAACCATGTACACCATGAACATGATTTAACATAAAATAGAGTAGCCTACTTTACAGGGATTTTGAGATCAAGCCTATATAACAAGCAAAAAAGATGGCCTTGTAGTGAGTCAGATCCTGAAAAATGTTCTCTGTTCTGTCTTCTTACAGGGATGTATATTCACATTTCTTTTTCTCCATGAAAATCTGGGTACATATGATCCATTTCACTGTGAGTAAATCAGTAGTCCTTAGAAAAATAATGAAACAAATACCAAGGACACAACAAGAGTAAGCTTCCAAAAATTTTCATATTATCTATTAGTTTAAATATGTAGTAGTTTTTATTTTCCCAAAATCTTTGCAAACAGTGTCAAACTATTTTATCTGTAGCTTTGGCAAACAAAGCAAAATATATATAATATTTTCACATACTGGAAAGCTTGACTGTGGTGGGAAGTAATTCAAATTCTTTTTCAGTTCATTAAAAAAACAACAATCAAGCATAACAACAACAAGACAGTTAAAACACAACACAAGTTTAAGCAGACCTGTTTCTGTGGACGCGAGTAGGAGAACTGGAGCCAGATCTTCAGCTGGTCAACTTCTCCCACACACACATAATCTGGAACAAGAAAGTATTCACACAATACGTGAGGCAATGTGGTAAAACCAGGAGCTCGTCAAATTAATGAAATAGAAGAAATAGGCATTTTTTCCACTAGTATGGCAATTTTAATCAAATTTTGTTGGGGTTTTTTTGGCTCAACACCTTTTAAATCCACATTTCCATGTGAATTTTACTGAAAAACAATTAAAGGCACAAAATATGTACATTTTACAGTTTTCAAGGACTCTCAAGCTATTTTGTAGCCAATTTTATCTTTGAAAACAGGCGACTCCCACTTCCTTTAATTGCAAATATCTCGACTTTATATTCAAGATAGATGGGTATTTTTTTCATCAAAAGCAAGGCAAATGAACAAGCTATCAGATGATACCAATATTTCATCATGACCAAAAATTAACGAGCGCATGATTCCATCGTGCCTTGACACATGTATAGCATTTGTACAATCATTAATAATATGCGTCGACTTTCCACAAACGCATAATCTGAAACAAGAAAGCATTCAGACAAATGTATGAAATTTGTACAAACATTTCAAAATGCAATAACTTTCCACATACATACATAATTTGGAATAAGAAAACATTCATACAATATGTATATCATTTTTACGATCATTTATATGCATCAACTTCCCATACCCACACAATCTGGAACAAGAAAGCATACACAATATTTTTATCATTTTTACGAACAGCTCATGCCTACACAGACATAATAAATGCATCACAATAAAACATTCAAATAAAATAACTTTTAACAGCATAAACGATACAAAAAATTAACCAAATTAACTACCCAGACAGCTTGAGTACCAACCTTTCAGCAGATTCACCTCTCTGTTACATTTCTTAGAGAGGAACAGTGCCCCATCATCAAAACGTAGCTGGATTTTAGACACAGTAGACTCAGCAACAATATTACTGCATAGGCTGAAGTGTTCCATGGTCAGGAAGCTCCACACAGGCAAATTGATGGGTCTATAACAAAGGGGGGAAAACAAATCAAAAGTATGAAAGAAAGAAAGAATAACTCAAAGGCCTAATGAATGTATGTAATTATAGTTTAAAAAGCTTCTCATCTAGGAGACTCTTTACCACTGCTCATCACACATCTTGATAGTGTTCTAGTCTAGAACTTCCATCACTAATGAGTCTCTTTAGTCTGGAGTGGTATTATAATTATTTTAAGCACACGTTCTTAAAAGAATAATCTTTACCCAGAAGAGCTCAAGAATTTTCGGCTTGTCTCCAACCTTTCTTTTTTGCCCATCTGCAGTTTCAAAACACAGAAACAGCTTTAAAGAAACTATACAACAGGCTCTTATGTGAGGCTGATGTGAACAAAGTTTCAATCCTTGCTCATAATGATCTACATTATTCTGTCCTTATATTATCTACATAGATTAGAGCTTTTTTGTCCTAACAAATCATTTATGTCATGTAAGGCATTGGATCAAGATATCTTAAAATATTTATATGTTCGATGGCAATGATAAGTGAATGATTATAGAACTTGTTGGTATGACATTTCCTTTATCAAAAATATAATCTGACCTAGCTTGCTTTGTGAGAAGTAGTTCTCACGTAATAGTAAAATAACTCTTTTGTACTTTTTTTTAAGGACAAACAAAGTGGTGGGTGATTGGCGGGTGCTCTTGTGTGGTTTGCTCCATCTTTCCTATCAGACATCTGTCATCCTAATCCCTCCTCCTTCTTTTGTGTGTTGGTTACTCACTTGTAACACCTCTAATCTTCAGCACTTATATGGCCTTATTGTGTCGCAAGTGCTGTAAAACTTTAACTTAAATAAAGTGATATTTTCCTGTCCTGTTCTCACCTGTAATCCACAGAGCAGTGGTCAATCTGCAAGTGAATCTCAGTCATGACTTTGGGCACTGTGTATCCTAGGATGGGGAAGTCTGTCAGGTCAAACAGATCCATGGCCTGAGGGTGGTGAGGGGAGGATGAGAAGACAGGTCGGATCATTGTGCATGAGGAGGAAGGATGGAGGGAGAGAACAAGGGAGGGAAGAGAGAGAGACAGCGAGAGGTAGAAGAAATATGGTGTAAGAGAGAGAGAGAGAGAGAGAGAGAGAGTTAATTCCTATCAAACTGAAAATATTCAATGTGTCCCGCATGCTCATATTACCTTATGTAGTTGAGAATGCTGTAAAATACTCACCAAAACAAACAAAAAGACCACAAAAAAAAAGCTATTGCTTAGCAGCATACGGTCTGAACAACAGGGGATTCTGAAATTATGCAAACTGAGCCAAAAATGTGAAATTATGCGATTTTGTTAATTTCAACAAAGAATGATAAAGGAAAATAATCCGAAATTATGAAAAAAAAAGATCAAATTTTGCTCAATTACGCAGGGTGCATAAAACCGCGGGGACAGCCAGATGTGCAACATGCAGTCCAACAGGTGTGAGGACAGCAACTGCTGGTGACAGACAAGATCCTTAGAAGAAGGTAAACAAACTGTCCTGACAAGTAGCCCACACTTCAGAGATTACTCATTGATAGGGAATCTATGTTGTAGTTGTAGATGTTGTTATCAACCCAGCAACAGCTGGGCTCTCGCCCTTCTGACCAATGCCATGTAGTGATAAGTGTAGGTTTGCTGCAGTTGCTGTAATGTTCCCTTGAGTGTGTTGTCAATGTTAGGTCTCAGAGGGAGAAGTGTAGCTCTGATGTCATTTCTGCCAGTACAGAGGAAAAGGTGATGTTCCACACTCTCATATGCATAGTCACACAAAGGACACAATGAGGGAAGTTCTATAAGAGATCTAAAAACGTCTTTTTCCAATGTCTGGTTGTCTTGCTGGTAATGTTGAGAGAGACAAAGGCTAAGGAAGTATATCCACATCTGGGGTGGACTCCCCGAGGCAGTTGACTGAAGTTTCACCATTTGGCACATCCTGCAGCAGTACTGTGTACCCCATGTACTAGTTTTAACATTTCCACTGGTTCCAACAAACAATACTCAGAGAGCAGCCTAAGATTTCTTTATCAAATGGCCATGGCTCGTAGCCCACACTAAAGAGATCACTCTACGATGAGAGATCTTAAAGTGTCTTCTCCCAATTTCAAAACTATGTGGTTTTGGACCCAATACCACTAAAATAGGGTTGATTATGTAGCAAATCACATAAAAAAAGAGTGGAATGGATTTCACTAACCTGTGACACCCAACTCTCCCCAGTTCTGTGCATCTCATGTCGCAGTGTAGCACCGTCCACTCTCAGGGCCAGTGTGAAATTCTGCAAACCAAACAAGGCAAAATTTAGTGGGGGTGGGGAATGTTGGGGGAGGGGCAGGTATGCACAAATAAGCATACCCATACAATGTTGTTTTTGTTGAGTAGTTAGTTTTATGGCAAAAAAAATTTTTTTTAAAGTATTAAAACACGAAAATGCTACAGTGCAAAAACCCATAAGGATAATAGTGAGGATGAAGAGTAAAAGTAGTAGTTGACCAAACCAGAGCACCCACAAACCACCCGTACGTCCCAAAACAACAGACAGAAAAACATGATCCCAACAACATCTGAGGGAAATCATTAAGTTTGAAAAAAAGAGAAGAACATTGACAAGAGAGTGGTCATTTAGTGCAAAGACAGAGTAAGACAGACATACAGGAACAATAGACAGAAAGGAGAGACGTAGTAGAACTAATAAAATGGCACACAATAATTACCCATTATTATACACACACAAGCGTAATGGAGTGTTACAACACCGACAGACCTTGATATTGTTGATAGTGTCCACTTTGGTCTTGACGACCAGTGCCAACATGTCTGGGCTGTCCCCTCCCCACCCGGCCCGCCCCTGAGAGCGGTCAGACACCCAGCGCTCCGAGCGGTAGATACGAGGTCGCAGCTGCTCGGGTATCCCGTGGCGCAAGTGGTTCAAGGACCCTGCCTGGACCGGGCTGGTCACATGACCTGAAAAAGGGAAGCAATTTAGTAGAGTAACATGACCTGAAAAATGGGAAGCAATTTAATAGATTGTGTTAAAGCAGAAAGAACATCTATAGGCAGACACAGAAACATGGAGAACATTAATTGAATGAATCCAGAAAAATTGAGCCCTAAAAATTGTAACTATCAATGTCAAATGGTTGCTTTTAAGGACAAAGGGCTATCCCCAAAAAATGCTGTTTTGAGAAAATCGAAGGCAAAGGTTTTGCCCCTTATTCAGTTTCTTTAAACGACAAGGAGACTATAACCACACAAATATGCACACCAATGAAACCAAACTTCTTCTATAGGTAGGGAGATTTCTGGAAAACCCCGAAATCTGGGTTTGCCCGCTTGTCCTTAAAAGCGACCATATATCAATCAATGCTGGGTCATGACCTGACCCAGGCTCCATCTCAGATCTTGCCAGCAAAGAATGAAGTGTAAACTAGCATAAGTTCACAGCAAACTTTTGTCAAAAATTCTTTTTTAAGCATCAGACAAGACAATAGTAACACCCAAAAAGAAAGTGAAAACCTCCTTCCTCTCCCTCCTCATTCCAATGTATAAAAAGGAAAAGGACGAGAGGTACCACCACACGTCTGAAGAACAAAATGATGCTCTGCTCTGTTCCATCACCACCCCATCCCAACTCCCTCCACACACACACACACACACAAACGTGTGCACGCATGCACACACACACATGCGCACACACACACGCATACACACACACGCACACTCAATCCCAACACACCCATAGCTGCAGATGACTCACTGTGTTTAGAGGAGAAGTCAAGGTGATAGAAACCACCACAGGCCTAAATAACAAAAGGATGCTCCACTCTGCTCCACACAGTTCCCCCCCCCCCCCACACACACATAATCCCATCCCCGCCCCCACCCATAGCTACAGAAGACTCACTGTTGTGGTAAAGATGTGCTCGGTGGGCTTGTAGGGTTAGGTACTTGAGCTCAGGGTCTCCACAGTGCTTGTTGACAGAGAACAGCATGCCATCTCGCACTGTCAGACACATCTCTGCATGGAGCCCTCGCTCTGTTACTGCATCCTGGGGGAGAGGAGAACACATAGATAGGCTTAGCTCTTTAAACCCTGAGTTTTTCCCACCGTTTCCCGGAGTATTTTCTAGTCACCTAAACCATGTGCATTTTGTCTCATTATAACCCCAAAAGTTTGCCTTCAACTTCTAAATGGCGGAAATAAATGCTTAGTAATTACTAAAAACTTGGCGCTCCAGCGTCCGATGGGAACAGGGTTATTACCGCCGGACGTTCCCAGCGTCAGATGGGGTTTAAAGAGTTAATTGAGATTGCTCACTAGAACATCACAACAGCACTATCTCATAGAACGGATCAGGAAAATACGAATTAAAGAAGAGAAGAAACAGAAGCAGAAGAAATAGACCACAACTGGGCGACTACCCACCATCAACATCTCAAACTTTAAATTCAGTCACTAAGAGAAAAGACTACTGATACAGCAAAACATTTGTACAGACAAACTACTCGTTTATCCTCGGAGGTTTCCCCTTACAATCTGAGGGCATAGTCAGAACAAGGAAGGGAATAAACCCTCGTGACATTGTCAAGCAAATTGTTATACTTCTTTTATCACAATTTTGAACTCTAGCATAACTTGTTTGCTTCAGCAGTGATTTGTAAAGGCAGAGCATTCAGATGATGAAGACAGCGTTATTATGCAAAAATAGAAACTCAAACGAAATAAATTAGGATTTCAAGTAATAAAGATCTGCATCAAAATGTGACAAGCACAGAAAATATGCTGATTTTTTTATGACACTTTCACATCAACTCACCGTGGAAAAGGCAGTCAAGTTTACCAGGGCAATAGAATATGAAAGACGTAATATCAAAAAAGAAGAGACAGTTCTTAAAACTTGAAGAAATTATAAAAGAAAGATGGAAGTTTTAAAAACAGTAAAAAGAATAGGGTGGCGGAGATTAGGATAAAATCCACGTCTCTTGTGTAAGGATGTCATGAAACAGTGGCAGTTTGTACAGTTGGCCGCTATGGTGAGGTGACCCCTCCGGCAGGTTTAATTATGTTTGTGGAAAAAAGCTCAACATGTTTATAAAACTAGCCCCCCAGGAAATCACGGCCTTGCGGTCGCAACTCGTTTTTCGTCGAGTTCCGCAATAAACCCGCAATTTTTTGCAATTTTCGCAATTTCTTGCAATTTTCGCAATTTCTTGCAATTTCAGACAAAAATATATCAACCCTTTAATTTTAACAGAATTTTAAATACGAAATGGTGTGAATACAGAGCCGATAGGCCTACATTAATCATGGTATTGGCCCAGCTCAAGCCTACTGAGCGTACACTAAAAGCTATAAGCGGAAATTCAGGCCAGAATGCATCATGTATGTACAACACGAACTGAGACATAGGCTAGGCCTGGATCTAATATGTGTAAGCGTGCACGTGTGATAAGAAAGTAGGTGTGAGCGTGTGTGGGCGTACGTGAGTGTGTGTGCGTGTGTGTGCGCGTGCGTGAATATTGTTCATACATCGTGTCTAATATACGGTAACCGGGCACCTAGTCTCAGTATCTATGTACACGGTAACCGGAATGAAAATAAACCTGCGCTTTCGCATCACATTGTGAGTACCGGTAGGGGTCACCACAGTTCATTCAAAGTATAGGGCTCCAGAATAGATGGATTATTGATTTTTTTAAAAAGGTACAGTCGGGGGAGGCAACACCGGATGACAAAAACTAAACTTGGAATTCTGAACTGCCCGGTTACTATGTATGTAACACTGAGACTACGTGCCCGGTTGCCGTTTACCGAGTACATTGACACTGAAGCTAGGTGCCCGGTTACCGTGTACGTAGACACCCTGTTATGTAAAATGCCTTAAGCTGCGTTCACACGGGAGAGGGTGCTATAGAAATGATCTAGATCTACATTATTAACATGTATTACTAATGTTTATAAATGGGGGGAAAAAAATTTGCTGTATTTTACGATTTCACTTCGTGTTAAAACAAAACCATGCCGGTTTTAAAACAGAAAGTATCTTGAAATAGATCTAAATACAGATTACCGGTGTATCGAAGGTTTCAAGAGAAAAATAGAACAGGATCTGATTTGATTGGAGCATAAGCTTATTTAGTATTTAGAGGTTGTTTCCAAAATCTCTCGTCAATTTTTTTGTTTTTTATAGACCAAACCTCATACACTTCTAGATCTTTGCATGAACCAGGTACCCTGTGTGTACTACATTTTGTCGAATTTTATGTCTTCATTTAAAAGTTATTACGAAAACCGAGGGTTCCGTTATTTTGTGTCACGCGTTATCATATTATATTTGGTCGATAACTTTATTGTTAACGTACTCGTCTGTTGTCACTAGTAAATGTTGTAAATAACATTTGATGAATTTGTATTGTGGGTCATGATTTTTTAAAAGGCTGTGCTGCTTTTATGCTACCGGTACTCAAATTGTCATGTTTATTAAACTAAAAATGTTAAGCCCGTACTAATGCGCCTGGGATGGGATGGGTGCAATTTTTTTGCAATTTTTAGGCAGTTTACCTTGCAATTTTTGTCAATTTTTCTATTTCAAAAATGCAATTTTCTGCGGGGCCAGATAAAAATCGCACAAATACACAGTCATACACCCTTAAACAGAATTTATATATTGGGGTGTATGTTACATGCTCTTAAGTATACATCCAAATGCATGCCAAAAACATTGAAACATTCACTTACTGGATGTGGAATCACAGCAAACACTATTCCTGAGCCGATGCCGAGAGAGAAGCAGAGTTTGCTCATTGGCCGTACAGCTGTTGGCTTTATTTGTTTCCCACTGTGATTGGCCGCGTGGTCATGGATAGAGTACTTCATAGACTCCTCCTCTTCCTCTGATTCCGGCAATTCATTATCTGAAATGTCAGTCATCAGCTGAGTTGCAGATAGCTTAGTTGGAGCAAGAGTTTTACAGCACTTGTAACACAATAAGGTCATATAAGTGCCGAAGATAAGGTACTACAAGAGAGTAACAACAAACACAAGGAAAAGGAGGAGGAATAATGATAATAGATGCTTGAGTGGAAAGAAGGAGCAGACTACACCAGGGTACCCGCCAACCACCTGTGAGTTGCAGATAATGCCAAGTATATTTGAAAAGAGAAACATTTTGCCAGGAAGAAAATAATGACAAAATCAAAGAGAACAAAAAAACGAGAAAAAGGTAAGTGCCGTAGAGCATCCACTAACTACCCTCAGGTCAGTGGATAGTAATTTATTACATTAATCAAAATACCTACAATCAATTTTATACCCTTAGGGAACCATATGTTAAATGGACTTGACTTGCATGATCAGGTTGGATCTAGATGGGCTGGGAAATGGCACTGGCCAGCGCACTGAACATTTTATCAAATAGAATTTTGCTTTGTTTTAGTAAGCATTTTACAGTACTTGCAATACAATGAGGTCATATAAGTGTCAAAGATTAGAAGTGTTACAAGATGAAAAGAAGGGGAGATATAAGCACGATAGATGCTTGATGGGAAAGAAGGAGCAAGCCACACTAGAGCACTTGCTTACCACCCACTTGCACTATTCAAAGATTAAAAATTACAGGTGAGGTAGAGGGCCAGGGTATGGAGGAGGGTCCCATGACATAAAAAACTTTATTTAATGAAACTTCAGTATGCATTGCTTCTATATGCCAGCACTCAATCAATATAGTTCTGCAATTTTAAAAAAGCTTGATGGTGAGAGAAGTACTACACAGACAGGAAAGAAGAAGAGACCAACCAGTGGTTCCCTGCAACCAACCATGTACTTCTTAAGCTGCTTTCAACACATCCACAGCCTTGAAAAAAAGAAAAAAATGCTGTTACGGAAAAACTTAATGTAGTGAAGAAGAAGAGAAGAAGAAGAAGAAGAAGAAAAAGAAGAAGAAGAAGAAGAAGAAGAGGAAGAGGAAGAGGAAGAGGAAGAGGAAGAGGAAGAAGAAGAAGAAGAAGAAGAAGAAGAAGAAGAAGAAGAAGAAGAAGAAGAAAACGATGACTCACCAATGCTTGATATCATGTGTCGATGCTGTTGCTGAAGCAGGTGCAGCACTCCAAGGCTACTGGTGGAGGGCGCCAAGCTGTGGCTGTAGGAATGCTCCCTCAGCGGCTTTGGTTCCCACATCAACAAGTCATTGTTGAACCTGTGCCAAAGTTTAGATTTAATAAAAGTTTTACGACACTTGCAACACAATAAGGTCATATAGATCTTAGTGCCAAAGATAAGAGGAGTCCCAAGAGAGTAATAAACACAAAAAAAGGAGGATAGATGCCTGATAGAAAAGAAGGAGCAAACCACACTAGAGCACCTGCCTACCACCCACTGACCTGTGCTAAGCAAGTGGAGGGATAACACAGATTATTAAGAACTGTGAACCAATAATCTACACAAATCTGTAGGCTTTTTTTTTTTTGATCACTGTAATAAAGCATGCAAATTGTCTCTATGCAAAGATGAATCATTAGTCTTGTTGTTTGTGTTTGCTGAATAATGTATTTTCTCTAATTTGCTTTATCCTTCCTCTAGTATCGTTACATGTCGAAGGGAGGTGAAATGTTCTGAAGGACTACTGACACTTAAATCAAGGGTACTCAGCAACATATATCCACCAACCATGTAAAACTCAAAAACTTTTAGTTTCATCTTGAAAAGAATAGGATTAATTGGAAAAGTCCGGATTATGAAGGTTGAAAATGCAGCATACTGCCAGCACAACAGAGAGATATTTTAAAGCACTTATTTCAATTAAGTTAAAAAGAATCTGAAGAGATTATGAAGTCTGATACAAAGATCATTGTGCAGAGGGGAAAAAATCAGACACCCAACACAGATTGCAGCGATAAAAAAACCACCCACCCCTTTTCAGAGAGAGCAAAACGTGAACCATCTTCCGCAAAGACACTCACCTGTTATAAAGAAGCTCCAAGAACTCCTTCGAATGTAAAGACACGATGATACGAGGTATGTTGATGTCCACTGACATCTCTGTGTGAGCCACACACTCCTCGCGAAACTGGCGCAGTTCCAGAATGTCGCCTGGCATCACCATCTGTGCCACAGAGGAAAGATTTTTGTTTTGTTTTATGGTTGTTTTAACGCTCCTATTGACACAATTTAGATAATTTATGAGACGGGTTTTGACCATACCTGCCATGGCCAACCCAGGCTAAGAGGGATACAACATCCCAGTAGAAAGACCGATATACAGTCGAACCTGCCCTGACGGCCACCTCTAAAAGACGGCCACCTGTACAAATGGCCACTTTCCATTTCCCCCCTTGCGTTTTTTCTATATACTTTAACTGTGTAAAACGGGCACCTGTCCAACGCGGCCACGGCCACCATATTTTAACACACAACCCCTATCACACTAAGCAATAACACCTGTCTTAGACGGCTACCTTAGTGACTCCATTACGTTTTGTCATTAATTGTGCATTGACCCCTGGCCTTGTGGGCGAGCCGTCATAATTTAATCACTTGTCGTTGTTGTTATATGTCCCTCCAACTGATCATGTTTGCGTAGCCCCCCCCCCCCCCCTTCACTGTTGATCAATAGGTACCAATTTCCAGCTGCCGGTGAGGGAAGCGTGTGATCCCTCATAATCCATAAGCCCCGCCCAGAACTCATACACAAATTGTAAGTGAGATGAGTGGTCACTTTTTACCTAGTCAGTAACAAAGTAACAATGGACGTCAACATGGAATTGTGACAGAAGCGTCGCTCGTTTTTCGAGTGGTGGCGACCCATATGTTTGTTTTACCATAGCACTCCGTCCTCCTGTCTGACACTTTTCGTTTTATTGTCACCCTTGCACAAAATCAGCAACAAAATAAAAATAACAAACAAAATACAAACCAACAACAACAACAACAAAAACAACATAAATGCGGATACTTTCGATTGAGAATGGGTTTTGTTTTCTTCATCTTGATCAGTCCTGCCTAAGACGGCGACCTGTCTTATACGGCCACTTTGCTCCTTGACAATGGGTGGCCGTCTTACACAGGTTTGACTGTACTCAATAAATACTCTCACCACTTACAAATCCATCTGAAGACTCTTGTGTGTGATGGTGTTACCCCCCAGCCACTACCTCTACAGAGGAGGGATAAGGCTTCACATAAGCGTGATATGAATAATTTTATTCCAAATTCTCAATAAATCCCAAAGCAATGTGCCATAAAACCTTTGTACGACCAACCCTCTTTCAATCAGGAAACATGTGAGATGCAGCTGAGGCGTACAGTACTCACTGTATACAAGAGCAACTATTCTAGTACTCAATGCTTCATAACTGAACTGAAGCCACACAGTATCCTGAGAATGAACTACTGGGGTCATAAAGAGCATATATAAGGACTGACGTTCTGTTGGGACTGAGGCTCTGCTGAACACACGTTCAAGTACTAAACGTTTCATACAGGGACTTGTACAATGTTTTACTACAACATGTGTACTGTCAAAGTGAAAATAAAAACTCTTTAGTCTTTTCAAATTCCACCGTCACTGCTCACTCTTAATCACAATGAAACAAATATGAAACTAAACATAAAGGGCCAAAATATTTATGTCAACAACTCCTGTCAATTTCCCCTTAGGTAGAGATCCTCATTTTAGTATAGGTCTTATAATCCATTTACATGTGACAACAAAGTACAGTCAAAATTGTCCAAGACAGCTCCACATTGTCGAGGAGAAAAGTGTTTGTATTGTGTAGATGTCTTAGACAGTGTCAATAGAAAATAGAAAAAGGCAAGGGGGAATTAGAAAGTGGTTGTTTGTTCAGATGATTGTTGTCTTGGACAGGTGACCCTTACAGAAGGTTTGATCTTACTAGCTACACCCAATCCCTTACCTTGTCGCTATCTGGGGCAGCCTGTTCCGAGAAGGAGAGGTCATCGCGTTCATAGAAACTCTTTTTCTTGCTGAATGGTCCCGACTCTGAGTGCAACAGGTCTGTGTACAGGTCCGAGCTGTAGTTTGAGTGGTCAGACTCCTCTTCCGTCTCCAGCTCCGAGTTCCTTTTGTTGGTGCAACCAATTACAATTCTGTCGAGAGGAAAGAAAAAAAAATCAAGGAATTTTTCACTTTGGAAAGATTTTAAAATTTTAAAAAAATACTAACACTATTCTTGCTTTTATCATTATTCTCATTACTATCATAACCAATTGTATCAATGTGCTTCTCTTTCCTCCACGAAAAACAAACAAAATAGTCACAACACATTCACATAGAGACCTTAAATCATTAGCCACCAAGCCGTGATCTGAATGAAAACATTCAGAGCAAATTTTAGTGGGGAGTGCACAAGGCACTGGCACCGGACAGCAACATGGTTGACTCACCGTGGCCAGTTGAAGTGCTGAGCATCATGAGCGGTTGCTTTGTCGTCCTCCACCGTCACTTCTCCAAAAAGGACAGGATCTTTGTCTATGTCCTCTTGCATGTATGCTGGGAATGGAATCATGACTCACAATAGAGCAAATGTGTCATTATGGGTACACAAGCTTCCCGGTCTTGCCAAAAAATACATGTTTACATCAAAGCTGTCAGGATGCTCAGACTATTCCAAATACATTACATCTCTCCAATACCCTAAATACTTTTAATAATGACAACTGACAAATATGAAACAAGACTATTCTCATGTACATGTATATAATAATGTTCTTTGTTGTCGACTTGACTACTGGAGGGGAAAAAAAGAAAGCAACGGACAGGATGCCTCACTAGCCTTAAATCCTGACTGTATATCAGTACACACTATGCTGCCCTACATAGCTGATGTTTCAAACAATGGTCCGTTTCTTATTTATTCTTTCATTAGCCTATTGATCTAGTTGGGGTGTAGTCGACAGCAAGTCATCACAGTAGCATCCACATATTGCATAGGGTAGGTTAGAATAATAACCCCAAAATACTTAAAGGCTAGTCTGACTATGCCCCTAGACAACCACCCTCACGGGAAAAAAAAATATAGTGGAATCTGCTTAAACAACACAATTAATCTGAAAACAGCAGTACCCTGCAAGAAAAAATTTCATTTTGTTTGAGCACTCTATCTAAACCCATAACCCGACTAAACAGAAGAATTTCCGGGGGCCCTGTAGATTTTGGTTAAAGCTGATGTCACTGCAGAAAGGGGGAGTTCACCTACCACTGGCTTTGAAGACTTCCAGCTCAAACTTGCATGGGTCATCTCCCTTGATGCTCGTCCTGACCTCCGGGGCCTCCAGTTCTAGGACCAGCATCTCCTTGTGCAGGGAGCGTCGGCACCAGTCCTCTCTAGAGGGGGGAGGGGGGCTCACTCGCAGGTCCGGGATTGGGAATCTGTAAGGAGAAGGGAATTCATTAAGACACCCTCATACTTCACGACAAACATCAGACGTTTCACAGCTTGAACCCACGACTCCATTAATGCAAGTCACTCAGCTCATAAAATGAGCATTGTTTACCAACCCTCTCCCACCAAAAAAAATAATTTATAAATAACTATAAATAAATATTAATGAATTAATGAATGAACAAGTAAATAAATAAATAAACAAACAAACAAACAAATAAAATACACAAACAAAAAAACAAAAACAAAACTGAGTTTAACTTTGTAATAACCTTTTCTTTGGATACGTCATCCACCAAACTGTCACTTATCATCAATCCCATAAGAAAAAACATTCTGTAACAACTTGAAAACAAACCAGATGATTATTCAAGAAATATGACCAACCGCAATTGTGATCCAGAACTCATAAATCACACTTGAAGATTCTAGACTGGAGTGTCAAAAGTGAATAATGCTTTCTTTTCTCTAAAAATTTCTCAACAACATAGCAGATAACAATGACAGCATTTTCTTTAAAAACAAGCTCTAAATTAGACCATTAATTGAACAAAAAATTCATGTTAGTTTTTTATTTGAATTTATCAATTATAAAAAGTCTTTCCCAAAAACATTTCCCTTTCAGCTTCGGGGACTGTGAGCTCTCCCTTTAAAAAGACCTATGTTTCCAGCAGGACATTTATAACTTCTACAAGGACAAAAAAAACAAAAAACAATATGTCGCACAAAGGTGTTGGCCACTCACCGAAGGCGAAGTGTGGAATGGGCAGCTTTCACCTCTGTATTGATATTCAAGGCGACCGAGCTTGACTCCTCCTGAATTACTTCTTCCAACTGTCGGAGAGAAACACAACAAGATAAGGTCAAGTACATCACAAAAACATGGAGGACACGAGCCAGACAATAGAAAGATATAAAGTAGGACAAAGAAAAAGAAGACAACAAAACAGAGTCATCATTGTCAAATAAACTCACCATCGTCATTGGCAAATAGGCAAACTGCTTATCCCATTTCAGCTGATCTTAGCTGAGAGAGAAAGAATAAGGTGTGTTTAAATTATGGGTTCATAAGATGAGAAATGAAACAGGAACAAGGAGAGCTGAGAAAGGAATAGCTGAGGAGATTGAGATATGAAAAAGACAAAGACCTCAAGAGAAAAAAAGGGGGGGGGGGGGGGGAGAGAAAAGGGAGAGGAGGAGAGAAGAAGGAAAATTAAAGGGGGGGGGGGGGGGGAAGAATTGAACTGGGCAGAAAGAGGAGGAGGAAAAGAAGAAAAGGATGGTGGAAAAGGGGGAAAACAAAGGCGAAGAACAGGAAGGAGAGGAGGAGAAGGTACAGGAAGGGAGGGAGGAGGTGGAGGAAGAGGAGAGGAGGTGGGGAAGCATTAGGAGGAGGGGACAAGGAAGAAGAAGGGTTTAGTTCAGTATTATTCAGAGTTTTACCGCACTTGCAACACAAACAGGTCACATAAGTGCCAAAGATTAGAGGTGCTCTAGAAAGTAACATACAAAAGAAACAAGGGAGAGAGATAAGGATGACAGATGTTTGATGAGAAAGACAGAGCAAACCACACCACAGCTGCCAGTAACCACCCACAAGAAGAAGAGGAGGATGATGAGGAAAAGTACAAGGAAAAAACCACGTGGCGTGCCTGCCTCACCTGGCCAGACTCATCTAGCAGCTTTGTGCCCGGTCCTTGACTCCGCCCTGTGTCCATGGCCAGCAGGGGAGCCAGGCGGTCAATGATAGTGATGTCCACCTCCGATGTCATTTTGCCAAAGTCCAGCGACACCTTCAGCGCCGGCACTTCTTTTCTCCTTCGACGTGACTGGGGGAGGAATCATGGATATCACTTACTTAACTAAATTAAACTTCCATTCTCTTTTCTTCCTTAACAAAGAATGTTGGTGTTAAGCAGTGGGTATTTGACAGTGATTCAGCAAGACAACAGCCAAATTCACCTCAAAGAGAATAACACAATGTGACAATTCTAACATCAAAAAAGAAGAAAACTGTCCAACAAGTTAGAAGTTCTGATTTTGAGTTGTTTGAGTAAACAAAAGACCATTGACACAATTACAGTCAGTTAATGGTGGGACAAAGCAAGAAAGACAGACTGAAAAAAAGAAAGGGACAGTAGAGAAGGATGGTCTAAAACAGGTGTCTTCCAACCATCCACACATTAGTAAGGAAAGGACAAAGATTATATGTACAGAAGTTGCATAACACAATCTAAACCAACAATCACAATTTAAAAAAGTGTAAAGCGCTAACAGCATCGGAGACAAAAGGATAATAGCTATACTTTTTTTAAGGGCTGGTGGGGCACCTAGAAATCGGGTTTTGGGGTCAAATTTTGCAAATTGGGTTTATTACATATTATAGTACCTGGACATTTCCTGAACAATATCCAGAAACGTATGTAGGCCTTGCTACACCCTAAAATTGTGTTTTGTTGTCAGGTTTTTCTGCGAAAGCACATGTTTTCTAGCCTTTTCTTACCTGTATCGGCTGTTTTCACACAATTCTATTTTTTCACATATTATCCCATTTTTCTGCTGTTTATGGTTCAATTTCATTGTAACTTTCACAGGATACCAACAACACCTAGATCTAGTTCTAAATTTTGGCTTGTTGAATTTTTGATTAAAACGGAGTAGTTTTTGATTTATGGGCTTAGTAAGAATGAATTTTCCAATTTTTTCACTTTTTTTGCAACATCCCAATTGTAAGTGTCATAAAATAAAAACTAAAGCATATATCAAAAATTCAACAAGCCAGATTTAAGAACTACATATTTACTGTTGGCATGTAACATTAGAAGTAAATCGGTTCATAAATAAGGGAATCAAATGGGATTGAAAAAGGTATACAAAATCCAATATGGCCGCCGTTTCCATAGCAACCAATTCACAATATACTTTTTAAACTACTGATTTAAAATCCCCAATAACACACGATGTCCCACAGCAAATATGGGCACTCTAGACCTTGTAATAGCCAAAATAGACCTCAGGTGCCCCACCAGCCCTTAAAATACGAGGAGCTGAAGAGTGCTAATTAAACACTCACCTAAACAAACCCACCCCCCGCCCTCCTCCCCAACCGAATCAAGAATTTTTTTTAAAAAGCCAAACAGACACAACAGCAAACAAACGAGTAAACAAACCTTGATAGAGTCTACAGAAAGTGTGAGAGCTGAGGACTGCTGCTGATGCTTGTCCGAGGCAAAGAATTGCTGGGGGTCAAACTGACCGTGAGTCTGGTCAGACAGGCCATTAACATCAAATGTGAGGAGCTGAGGAGAAGAAAAAAAGACATGTTAATAATGCTACTGTTGTTGCCGGTGGTGGTGGCAGTGGTTTTGTCATTGCTATGTCGTGGGTACCATAGTCGCTTAATGTTGTTGAAAAGGACTTTATTGCCACTGGCATAATAGTGGCCACATTTTGCACAAAAAAAGATGAGGACAATGAGAAATATTCAGGACGAGAGGGAGAAATGTTTTTGCTGTTGCTGCAACTGTAATGGTAACTGTTATTGTAGCATTTTTAATCTTTATTTTCATTGCTGCCATTACTGTTTGCATGGAGACTGCACAAATGTGGTCATTTTTGCCAGCAGTACATAAGGACAATAATAACAGTGTTATTAGAAGGCAGGTAAAGAGAATTGAAAAAGTAAGGTGTTCATGCTTAACGCATCAGCCAGTCCGTCAAACAAGTCTATGTACCTAAAGTAAACTAACTTGCTTCTACTGCTCTTTTTTCCCTTCTAATTGCTACAGTTGTAGTTGTTGCTGTTATTGTTCCTCATTACTTTATTAAGTCCATGTGATGTGCAGTGACCTTTTATAACCTCTACATGAATGACATTCCGCGCTGTGCGCTATTTTTAACAATCCTCATACCAGCAATATTCAACACAATAATATTATTATGTCTTAAGCACTGATCAATCTGACAAAATGAAAGTTAGTCAAAAGCTGATTTTATAACAAAAAGCGAAAAGATGTAGAACTGTAGATGTGTGGGCGCCGATGCAGTACCACTAAACAAAACATAGCAGGAGAGCACTGGAAACAGGTGTGTGCACAGGGAGGGCTAGAATCTAGGAAGTGGTGCAACCCAGGGAGGGGGGAAGGTTATTCCTGAAAACATCAACAAGGTGGAAAAGCTAAAACACAAAAGGGGATGGGGGAGGAGGGAGGGGGGTCTTTGTAAACGTTTATAGCAAACCTGGGTGTTGAAAGTAAAGGATGAACCAGACAGGGTAGCTTTTCATAATAAATCATGATGCTGGAGCAATTAAATTGTCCCTCAAAACAAGTAAGATTGTCCATACTAAGACTTGAGAGAGAGAGAGAGAGAGAGAAAGAGAGAGAGAGAGAAAGAGAGAGGGAGAGAGAGAGAGAGAGAGAGAGGGAGG